TGGGTGCTTGTGGTGGGGTTTTCGGCTGGCTTGTCTCCCACTTCCTTTCAATTGTCTCCCACTTCTTTTCATTTGTCTCCCTGGGTGCTTGTGGTCGGGTTCCCGGCTGGCTTGTCTCCGGACTTGTACTTCACTGTTACAAGTTCTTTACCCCTATTTCTAACCTAATGCATGCATAAGCGGGGGGTAAATTTACCCCCCAGAGTTGCCATAACCATAAGCCGGCTATTTCCTCAACACACTCTACTCCTTATACCTTTTACCAGTGCTTATCCTACACTGCGGACGCCCTAGTGTATGCACAGTCCTTGTGATGCCAGAAATATCCAGAAATGCTTACCCCTCTTTCCGGCACAAGGCATACATAAGCGGTGGGTAAATTTTAAAAAATTAACCACCAGAATTGCAATAACCATAAGCCGGCTATTTCCTCAAGACACTCTATATTCCATATACCCTTTACCCGTGCTTCTCCTACACTACGGACGCCCAGTGTATGTACAGTCCGTGTGACGTCAGAAATGCTTACCCCTCTTTTCGACTCAAGGCATACAAAAGCGGGGGGTAAATTTACCCCCCTTCGTGCCTGCCAACGAGTGCGCCCGTGTTGTTCCAATGTACCCTTCCCAGTCGGCGATGTCACATTTACATTCTTCAGCGCAAAGTGTGTACGTAGCAACCTTTCTCCCAAAACATGTAATCACTACATGCTTTGCCGACTATGTAACTAGTACATCCGGTGCAATTCGGCTAGCTTTCGACCTCCTCCCCTGGCCTTAAGTCATTTGTCTCCCAGGTCTGTCATTGGTGGTGTCCGCCCTTTTCCGTTGGCCACGCAACATTTCTCTTCATTTGTCTCCCAGGTCTGTCACTGCCGGCCCGCCCTTGGACGCTGGTTCTATTCATCATTTGTCTCCCAGGTCTGTCACTTGCGGTGTCCGCCCTTTTCCGCTGGCGATGCAACAGTTCTATTCATTTGTTTCCAAGGTTGGTCACTGCTGGTGTCCGCCCTTTTCCGCTGGCTTTTCTGCTGGCCATGTAGCATTTCTATTCATTTGTCTGCCACATCTGTCACTGCTGGTGTCCGCCCTTTTCCGCTGGCCATGTAGCATTTCTATTCATTTGTCTCCCAGGTCTGTCACTGCTGGTGTCCGCCCTTTTCCGCCGGCGATGCGACATTTCTATTCGTTTGTCTCCCAGGTCTGACTGGTGGTGTCCGCCCTTTTCCGCTGGCCATGCAGCATGTCTATTCATCTCCCAAGTCTGTCACTGCTGGTGTCCGTCCTTGTCCGTTGCCATGCAGCATTTCTATTCATGTGTCTCCCAGGCCTGTCACTGGTGGTGTCCGCCTTTTTCCGCTGGCATTTCTATTCTTGCGTCCGCTGGTGTGTGTTTGTCTATTGGCCATGAAGCATTTCTATTCATTTGCCTCCCAGGTCCGTTACTGCTGGTGTCCGCCCTTTTCCGTTGGCCATGTAGCATTTCTATTCATTTGTCTCCCAGGTCTGTCACTGCTGGTGTCAGCCCTTTTCCGCTGGCGATGCAACAGTTCTATTCATGTGTGTTCCAGGTCTGTCACTGCTGGTGTCCGCCCTTTTCCGCTGGCCATGCAGCATTTCTATTCATTTGTTTCCCGTGTCTGTGACTGGTGCTGCCGCCCTTTTCCGCTGGCCATGTAGCATTTCTATTCATTTGTCTCCCATGTGATTTCTTTCTTTTTGCTGCGCTGGTGTTTTCTGCCCTGTCCGCTGGAACAGGTTGACCTGTGAAAGGTTCTTGCTCCTTTGAAAGGGTGCGTGATTGTCTCCGGGATTGCATTCCTGCCACACTGTGTAACTCTCTCAGCTTTGTTTTCCTTTTCGGGCAAGCGTTGGATGAATGACCGGATTGGATTTCGGCGTTCAGTTGGGACGGAGGGCATACGTCAGGCACCAAAAACCAGTTTCATGTCACGTCCTTCGCTCCTCATGCTTTTATTTCTTGTCCTCACGTGGTCAGCTCCCCGCTGATTGAGCAGCATGACCAGCATCATGTTCGCACTTGAAGAATAATTCCCCAAAAGGTTTGCTGTTGGGGCTTGTCAATTCTTTCTTAAGATGTGTCCGCCTGCTCTGTACGCAATCCTTTGTCTCCCAGCTCTGGGCGTCGCAAGCTCTAGTTTCGATTTGAAAAGCGCAAACTGTTTGGGGTCTACGGTGGTGTAATTTTCTTCATTCCTCTCCTGCTCCCTCCCTCTCTTCTCCTTGCTCAGCTAGCTTCAATTTGAAGGACCTTGCTTGTTGAAAGTAAAGTACGTATCATTTGATCAAACCTATCGCGTGTTGCGCTGGCACCTGTTACCCTTGCACTTGCAACTCAGTCAGCGCTGGCCCTGTTCAAATTGCCGTTTTTCTTTGCCTCACACCTACCATATCCTACCATATCAGACCACATCTATTTTTCAGATCTTGCCTTCTTTCACTGCCAGGTTGGTGATCTCTTCATTTGTTGCTGTGATCGCCATCACGTCACGTCGCTCGCAGTCGAGTCCACATATCAAGCTACACATGCACGCGCCTTTTATGCAACAGCTATAGTATATATATATATACAATCTAATCTAATCTAATCTAATCTGATATAATAATATGATATGATATAATATAATATAATACAATATTACATAATATAATGTGTATATATATATATGTGTACACATGAGGCTCATGAGGTCACATGATATTTGGGTTGGTGCCTGGTATTCTTATCGTTTGTTTTAAAGAGTGAACATGCAAGGATTTCCACGTGACATTCATCGGCATCACCCGATTTGTTGCCGACGTTTTCTAGTTTCTGTTCAAGTGCTTGAACAAACATATTGGACAAAGATCTGGAACATTGGTCAAATGTTGGTCAGGAGCTTTCTGAGTGTGCGGACATTGATGGATACATCTGGGGAAATTTGGAGCGAACACGAATTCAACAGTGCGCAGCATGCATTGAAGAATCGTATCCTGGAGGATTCCAAGCAGTCAAAATGACGCCGCTGTGTATCGGTTTGATCGTGTTTGCATTTTTGGTCGACCAGTGAAGCTTTCGTGGAGGATCATCCCGCAGACCTGAAGGCCATCAAGATTGTGAGCAAGCTGCTGGAGAGCGACCTGAAAATGACGGGCTCCCAATGCCACTCCTTTGCTCGGGAAGCAGGTGCTGGAATGACCTTTGGTGATGTAGGGATATTTGGGTGTTGGCCTGAAACATGTTTGTAGTTTCCTGACCTGACATGTCAGAACCAAATGCATCACAATGACAAAACCAATGAGGAGTCGCAAGTGGCAACAGCGATGACAAACCACAACAACAACAGCAGCAGCGGCGGCGGCGGCGGCAGTGCCAGCAAGAGCAACAGCAACAACAACATGAAACCAACAAGAACTGCAGCCCCGTGCAATCTCCTTGCTTTTTTCTAAATTTTGAATAATTGGATAGGAACATACTGAAGTCCCGTGTGTTGTTTTGACCCCACCTGAAACAGCACACTGTAGCCCCATCCATTCGATTGGATTCGAAGCACACATGCGCTATTGGGTGCCGCGGGGAAAAGTAGGACAACGAAACAGCACCCGAAAAGGTCTGGGCATCGAAGATCTGTCGACGGCCGAACATAGAACTCCCGTGGTCGCTCTGAACGGCTCCCTGTTCAGCCGTGAAGATGGATCCATACAAGTTACAAGTCCAAAGGCCTCCAAGATACTAGCGATGGCCTCAAACCTAATAGCGATGGCCTCAAACCTAATAGCGATGGCCTCAAACCTAATAGCGATGGCCTCAAACCTAAGCCTCAAAACTAATAGCGATGGCCTCAAACCTAATAGCGATGGCCTCCAACCTACTACTCTAGCGATGGCCTCCAACCTACTACTGTAGCAATGGCCTCCAACCTACTATTGTAGCAATGGCCTCCAACCTAATAGCGATGGCCTCCAACTGCTGTAGTGATGGCCTCCGACCTACTATTGCGATGGCCTCTAACCTACTACTGTAGCTATGGCCTCCAACATACTACTGTAGCGATAGCCTCCAACCTACTACTGTAGCGATGGCCTCCAACCTACTACTGTAGCGATGGCCTCCAAGCTAAT